TTTGAGCTAGCAAGCTGTTTCTGTCAGCGGATATCGTTCGAAAGGAACGTGGAACGTGTGCGTGTTTATTTTGTCGAACCAATCGCAAGAAACTGCGTCCTTTCACAGTCAGCAAAAAGATGCAGACACACGCGCGCGCGCGCGCCCAGCTGCGACAATGCATCAAAAGCTCAGCGGCACACTTGCAACTAGAAGATGCTGAAATCTTGTTAATATATATATAATAAAACCCCAACTTGGACTATTGAAATGAATGCAGATAATATCCACGGAACAAGCTGCTGATGAAGCCTTTTGAAATGAAATATATATAAACCCCATATGGACTAGTTAATGCTATAGCTGCAACCGTTGTGATATATGCATGTGGATTTGTCTGAGGTCGACATCGTATGCTGCTGCATTGCCTACCAAATCCGATTTGCTACCTTTCCTGTAGACAGAGATCGTGCCAACTTCCATCTTCTTCTCTATTCAATGAAATTAATTGATAAAAATCTGGTGCAGGTTGATTCTTAAAAAGAGTGACAACTTTCAGCGAATCAGCTCAGAGATAATCCTTTGGTTCAAAGCGGGTAAATAAATAGAATAAGATCAATATGTACGTAGGAGTATCTCTTAAACAAACCAGAATAGCAATCAGAAGGAGACAGACAAGCAATGCAATGCAACGTTCTCACTTCTATATAAAAGCCATTATTTCACAACTGTTAAGGATTACTTCAGGAGGACCTTATTAATAGTGCTTTGATCCCTGCTTAGTGTTTTCAAAAGATACTTGGAAAGGTAGGTCTATTTCTTCTTTATCTTTGTAGATCAACCTAGCTAGCTTTGTACATGCTATTGCTTCTACAATTCACGAGTCATTTCTCCCCGCTCTGAAGGTTCACTCCAGGTTTTGACTTAGTAGGCCCCGAAGTCAAAACTACCATAACTTCTTTCTTACAATCCGATTACTACTTGATCAAGAGATAGGCACATTAATTAATTGTTCAAGATATTTACTAAAGTTATCAAGTACATTAGTGTTATCTTCTAGGTGCAAATATGCAGTGGCACGTATTTTTTTGAGAGACTTAGCAATTAAACTATTACTACACTTAGTTGTCTTTTAAGTATTACTAACAATCTATAAGGTCAGTCTCCGTGGAAGTTTTATGTCCTAGTTTCCAACACTCCCATATATATTATTTAGAATTAGTGCAGAAGAGTTTCATCCCTATGAAACTCTCTCTACTCCCATAAAACTTTTATCATCGATCTCTCTTCATAAATACAGAGGCAGGTCAGTATATTTAATGCCCATAAAACTCTATGAAACTCTCACCGACTATGGGTGTGTGTACTTCCTTTAGACAATGGTCAAGTTATTGATATATATGCGACACTTTAGGCTGATGTTGCAAAACAGCTAATGCATCATTTAGTTTTGTACCGCAAGCTTTATCAAGGTACTTTCATGATATACTATTTGTAGTTTTTTAATATTCTGCAATAGTGCTAAAAATTGTACGATATCCAGACCAGCCTGTTCGTTTGGCTGTGGCTTGTCATAAACGATCGTAAATTTTTAGCCGGAACAGTATTTTTCTCTCACACAAACCAGCCAGTAGTACTTCTTCACGAACCAGCAACGAAACGAACCAGCCAACCGAACAGGCTGATGTTGATGTCCAAAATTGTTGCTCAATGTACTACTCTCTTCATTTGAAATTGTAAGTTATTCTAGTTTTCCTAGATATATAAGTTTGTTATTAGAGTAAAGTCCATTAGCGGTCCTCGAACTTGTTCCCTATGTCATCCCATCCCTAAAATCGCAAATTGACTGTTCAGGTTCTCAAACTTGTTCATCTGTGCCATCCCGGTCCCTAAACTCGCAAATCGACTAGTTAGGTCCTCAAACTTATTCATCTGTGTCATCTCGGTCCCTAAACTCGCAAATCGCTCATTTATGTCTTCAAACTTGTTCGGATGTATCATCTAGGTCCCTAAACTTGCAAATCACCTGTTTAGGTCCTCAAACTTGTTCAGTTGTGTTATCTCGGTCCCTAAATATTGTAAATACTGTAAACTTGTAAATTCAATATATATTTATAGAGCTGTCCAAAAATTATAAATTTAATTTTGTTAGACTCTTGGTAACATGTACTTCAAATTAGAATAAAAGAAATCATCATATACTTTTTATTTTTAACTATATAGTTAAATGACTAAATAGGCACGTATATTTTTATAAATCCTAAAAATGTATGTGTCTATTTAGTTATTGAACTATATAGAGTTAAAATAGAAAGTACATGGTGATTCATTTTATTCTAGTTTAAAGTACATGTTACCATGAGTCTATCAAAATTAGATTTATATAATTTTTGGACAGTTCTATAAATATATATTGAAGTTACAAGTTTATAGTATTTAGGGACCAAGGTGACACAATTGAACAAGTTTGAGTACCTAAATGAGTGATTTGCATGTGGGACCTAAATGATACAGCCAAACAAGTTTGAGAACCTAAACGAGCAATTTGAGAGTTTATGGACCAGGATAACACAAATGAACAAGTTTGAGGACTTGAACGGTTGATTTGCAAGTTTAAGGACCGGGATGACACAGCCGAATAAGTTCGAGAATGGGTGCACTTTACTCTTGTTATTACTATGTATTTAGGTATAGTATATATATCTAGGTAAATGAATATATAAAGCTATGCACCTAGAAAGTCATAACGACTTATAATTTGGAACGAGGAGAATAGTTTTCAATAATTTGCAGAGGAGGTCAGGTTGATGCCCGCAGCCCGCACCAGCAACTTGTGCAAAGAACATATATATGAGCTCTAACATTTTCGTGGAAGCAAGAGAGACATGATCAATTTGACTTGATCGAGCAACGAGAATTGACAAGTTTGAACAAACTAAACTCGGACCGGCCAGATTAAATAAGCTAATACTACTAGCTTCAAGGTGTGTGTGTGTGCAGCGGTGCAGAAACAAATGTTCGACACACCAAATTATTCGCATCGAAGAGGACCTGCGTGCATGCATAAGATGCATGCGATAGGACGCCAAAGTACTTGTTGATGACATACACAAGTACAGACCCGGTCCAGAAATTATTAGGCGCCGCTAGTTGTTTTAACACAACTTCTTTATTTTCTGCACATCAATCTCTAACACGCTGGCCCACCTGCTAGCACTGCGTTAAGCCTCCCTACAATGTCATCCGCCGTGGTGTTGAAGCCCTCCGCCACCTGTAAAGAGAGGACACAGATCTCCAGGTTTCAAGCTTGATTCGACACGTGGCGCATGCAGCACCACTAAATTCTTCTTCGATGAAAAATTTACACCACGTGTACTATCGAGTACACCCTTTACTACACTCATCAACAACTCGACATCGTCGGTTACGAACAGAGTAACACTATTTGTTCTATATACTCCTTCATCCCATAATAAATACACTTCTAAAATTTCGATGAAAATAACAATGCGAGAAATTACAAATATATTCCTAGAAAGATGCAAAGAAAAAGACAAATAAAGTTATGTTGTATTATATGTAGATGTACATTTATTTTGGAAAAAAATTAAACTCTAGAAGTACAATTATTATGGAACGGAGGGAGTACTTCGTTCGTCCAAAACAAGTGTCGCTATTGGTATCTGTGTCGGTCAAATTTTTCAAAGTCTGACTACATTTGTAGAAAATATTAGCAATATTTGTATCTCAAATAAATTTATTATAAAAATAGATTCAACGATATATCTAATGATACTTATTATTTACTATAAATATGAATATTTTTTTTTATATATATTTAATCAAAGTTAAATGTTTGACTCTTCAGAAAACGAGAACCATACTTATTTTGGGACAGGGTAGTATACTAAGTCAAACAAGAGGTCAAACCAAAGGCACTCTATTCGCGCTTTGAGGACTAGTAAGTACTCCATTCATCCATAAATAATTGTCACTGTTGGTGTATATGCTGCAAGTTTGATTCGATTCGTAGAAAATACGTGCAAGATTTTTATGTTCAAATAAATTTATTAAAAAAATAGATTTAAAGATTTTACAATGATACTAATTATGTATTATAAATATTAATATTTTTTAATATATATTTAGTCAAAGTTGTTTCTCCGAGAACGAAAACAACGGATATTTAGGGACAGGGAGTAATCCATAAAATGACAAAAAAAAAAAAGAAATTGGTCATTAAACAAAAGAAAAAGAAAGAGAATGATCCTTCAGGCCATAACGGATCAGAGTATAACAATATAAAATCGGATATACGAGTAGACATCATAGCTTACATTTGCAAGTACGAAGTTTATTATGCTTCAATTTGTTGGTATAGTAATATAGTCGTACATTTCAAATGCAACCTTGCACTTTGAGGCACTTCTCATCAGCTAGTTAAAAATTAATTAATTGACTACGGTCCTTTGAAATTCAGATGCAAATCTCCAACATCAAATTAAGTTGAACTAAACCCTAAAAAATTTCTAGAGCAGTACTCATTCTAACAAAAAAGCATGTCCTATACGTAACCGTGGATTGATCTCTTCAACGTTGGGGCTGGTGGTCGAAATCTATTTGTCTTTTCGTTCCGTTATATATTACGTACTTGAAATTAACAAATAAATCACACATTTTCATTTCGATTAGCACAGTGAAGTGAATTTGTCAATCTCCAAGATTAAACCTATCTAAGAAAAGGCTAATGGAGAACTTGCCTTTGCCATTATGTTTATGATGAGGATGCAAGCCGAGAAGGGCATGACATTGGTGTGCGTGATGCTGAGGCAGAGTCCCTCGACCTCGGCCAGCACCCTGACGAGCACCCCCTTGCCGTCCGCGCAGTGGATCCTCAGCATCACGACGTTGCCGTCCGACATCCTCACCTCGATCTCCGGCAGCGCGTTCCTGGTGGTCGCCGCCGCAGCCCCAGCTGGCACGCAGGACGAAGGGAAGGCGCGCCGCCGCCGCCGTCCTCGTCATCCCCGGCCGCCGGCGCCGCGATGCGCGGCTTCTTGACGAGCACCGCCGACTCCATGCCGCCCCCAGGCGTTGCCGCTGCCGCTGCAGTCTTGTTGGAGCGCCTTGAGCTTTTCTTGGAGCTCCTTCACGTACCTCGTCGCGTCGGAGAGGATCGTCGCCTTGTCCATCTGATCGAACAAAGTAACCGATCGATGCATCATTACATTGTGAAATAATCTGGGTCAGAGAGATATTATATACATGAAATATGATGATGAAATATGTATACGGTTCAGGGATTGACCTTCTTGAGGCAGGGGATGACTGCTGAGAGCTCAATGAAACGCTGGTTGATCTTCTCCCGGCGCTTCCGCTCCGCGACGATGTGATCATGGGAGCACGTTGCAGACGAAGAAGCCGCCGACATTTTGGCAGAGGCTCTCCTCGTCGGCGGTGGCCCGTTGTGCACCATCTGTGGCTGTGGCACCGGCACGCCGCCACCGGCACCGCCTCTCTCTGCCCTTGCGGCGGCTGCGGCGGCGGCAGAGTTGGCCTGGGCTTCTTTGATTAGCTGCGCCGACGCCGAATTGAAGTTCCAGCTCACTTGCTGGTTGGTGCCGCTGCTGCCGCTGCTGCGGGGCGTGGCACAGTTGACCGAATTCTGCTGCGAAGACGGCGACCAGGCGGTGCCGCCACCGCCGCCGCCGCTCCCGCTGTCGGTGTTGGCCGAGCTCCAGCTCACTGATGCGGCGGAGTATCCCAACGCCGGGATTGAGGAGAAGGCAGTGTTGCAGCCATTGTCGTCGTAGGCGGCGGCCGCCGCCGGCGTTGCCGGCGGGAGCTCGTCGTGCTGCAGCGTGCTCAGGGCCCACTGCAAGAACTGGCTCGAGTCCTCCATGTTGCCAGATATTGATTGAGCTGCCTAGAGAGATACTCCTCTCGTATATATAATTAACACGCACCAAATCAGAAAAGGATCGCTGTGCAGATCATCAAGAAAAAAATGCAATCGATGCGACAACTCTAATTAGTCGAGTAACTGCACGGACACGTGAAGAACTATTTGGCTATATGCAGTACCTTACTACTCCAGGACGATCCGCACAAGATTCGTCGTGTATCATGTTAGACAAAGATAAAGATGACTGCCAAATAGTGGCAGCAAAAGTTTTGCCACCGCGACTCAAAATATAAGACCTAATCGTCCGTTAGGTAGTGCTACAGGTAAATAATTCAATATCTATTTTTTGGTCTTCTCCAACAACAAGACCTAAAAGATAACCATTTCTGCAAATGAGTCTCCGGGAGAGAGAATACTCAGATTTAGGTTATGCCTCTCCTGACATCTAAAATAGGCCTAGATACTTTATTGAAGGCTATATATATTGTGGCGAAGATCATTTTGGGTTTGAGTTCCACAGTAAATCTGCTGTTGGAGACAACCTGTCCAGTCTGCTGCGGACTGCCAGATCTTGGGAAAAAAACAAAGCTCGTGAAGCACAACAGAGAGACAACAGAGAGGTAGGAGTAGACGGGACACAGCCATACTTGCCCCAGATCTTGGGTATACGACGGCAGCTCCAACAATGCTGAGTTGCTGACTCAGCTAGTGTAGAAGATCCACATCATCATTTTTTCCTACGTGGAAAAGAGAGGGAGATGAAAGAGGAAAGAGCTAGCTCTTAATGATGAGATAGTCTCTTGCGCATCTATCTATGTTTAGTGTGGCTCATCCAATTATCTTTTCTTTCTTTGGGACCAAATTAGATTTGAGCAATGAGTACGTAAAAGCTAGGCCATTGGAGACATAATCCTTTACGTACCTCTTGTTAAGATGGATATGACACATAGATCTTAGAGCTAGAAAGTAGCTACTATATTTGGGGGGGGGCTCTGACCCACCACAATACACATCAGCTAAAAAGATTCTGTACCATTAGATGATCCGCCGGTCCATGGTTCAGATAATTAAGGACATAAACAACCCTTATAAAAATATGAAAGAGTACATAAGTCATATGCTACTACTCTATCCACTCGTTTTTACATGTCATATTCACTACTATAATTTTTCATAATAGAGGCAGCTGAAAAGCCTCTGTAGTGCATTTCTCCCAACCAAATCCACTTTTCTACCTCTATAAATCGGCGACTTGTAGAGTAGGGCGTGTCCAACCGCTCTAGAAATAGGTTTATAGAGACGGTTGTAAAAATCTATTTTCAGAGATGGCTGAAATCCAGAGCCGCATCTATAAATAATTTTAACAGAGACAGCTGATCTTTTGTCGATCTAGCATTCTTCTAACATCGTAGGTATATGACATTCAAGTTTCAGGGTGTTTAACTAAACATCTCGTTACATAATCGATTAGGGCAATGCCATTGAGTGACTTTGTGAGGCCCATACTAGTTATATGATTCAACTTCCAATTCATGCGTGCAAGGTTGATCAAAATAGTGGAGCTAATGAAGCTGGGAGCAAGGTGGGTCTTGGTGCGCAAGAACAGCATAGAAGCGTGCATCGCCGACTAGAACGCCTAGAGTGGTAGCCTCGGCCAAGACCGTTAGCCGACCATCGCCGCTCCTGATGTTGACGTTACCGGTTTCAACAGGTACTGCTGCATGACAAAGGAAGACATCATCCGAGCTTCTCCTCGACATGTTGGCATGGTCAACCGTGGCTATACCCAGCTTGCTATACTCACGAGTCGGCGCGCCTCCCAGGATCAGGTCGATCATGGATGATTGCAGGTGGACTCTACTTCAAACAAAAAATAAAAACCCAAGGGCGTGTTTGGTACGCAGCCTGAAGGGAACTCGGCCTGCAGGCCAGGCTGAGGCCAGCCACAGCCGGGCTAAAGCGGTGTAAGGCCCCTTGTTTGGTTGCCTGTACCAAACAGACTAGGCCCAGAGGAGATTGTGTTTGATTCCACATCAGGGAGTTAGGCCCAGCACCAACTAACTCCAACTGCTATAGGGAGATGGTGTTTGATTCCCGGCCACAGGCCAGCATCCAGGGAGAAGACCACACGAATGAACTACAAATTGGATATAGGTAAGAGGAATCCAACATCACAAATAAAATTAGTCTTTCATTACAAATAAAATATAGGATCCAACATGCAATTAGTGTTGTGGAAATTAACATGCCTCAAACAAATTAATTAATTAACCATGGAGTCATAGCTACTCAGACTTTACAAAATACCAGTCAAGCAAGGAAAAATACCAACATGAACAACTTAAGCAGTACGCACCATCACTTCAACAACAAATAGGAGATAGGTAACAGAAATGGATTACAGAAATTAGTAACACACTGAAGCAGCTCATCGATCATCTAGTTGTAGTCATCACAGGCCTAAGTGGGGCAGTTGTGCTGCCCAGTCTTGCTCACCTCCATCCATAGTCCAAACAGTAAAATAACAAGTGAGATGATTAACACATTCTTTCAATAACTAGCCTTACCATCGGCTAGTGGAATACCTTGAGAACAAGCATCTTGGGGCAGATTAGAGGGGGAGCTGCTGCTACCAGAGGTGCATTAAAATCTCTCACTGATGCATGAAAATCTACAATAGCCTGCTCATAGCTATTATATTTCTTGTATATAGCATTTTTAAACCCAAGAACTTGTTTACTGCACTCATGCCATGTCAGGTAAACCCCAGGACTCTTCCCTTTGAAAACCACATAACAAGTGCCCATTTTTGTGAAATGAAATAGTGGTTTAGCCTCAGTCAAAATGAATGAATGAAACTTGCCATGAGTGTGGAACTTGAAGATCTATGGTTTGTGATGAAACAAATCGTTGATCTTAAGTCCCTCACTGATGACCAGCATCATTAAGTTGAAAGCAACAATTATGATATCACAGGCATTTTATAAAAAATTGGCCTCAGCTTTTGAATCTGGTGGTGTAATTCATTAGTTAATTCATTGGTGGCTGCCATACGAATAAAAATCCAGTAGAACAACAAGGTAAAAAATGCAGGCAACATAAGATTCAAACAAATGCAAACCCAATGTCATGGCTAGCATGGAACCTATCTGGCCATCCATTCTCTGCCATCAGCCTTGTGGAGTTGCATGAGAATGGATGGTTCAAATAGATTTGATGATAGTCATGAAAACTAGCAAGAAGAAGCCATAAAAACCAACAACAACATTCTCAGATGTGCAGCCACCTATTTTTTTGTTGACAGTTTGCATCATAGGCCATTTATATTTCCCACAGTTGCCACCAAAGCAAAGAAGCAAAACCAACACAGTAATTGGTGAGATGTTGCAAACTCAAGCTCAACAGTTCAAAAGTGAGACAATAAACAGCTAAAGGTCTCAAATAAAGTAGCCAACAGAGGCTACAAACAGTGCCTTACAACAATAGGTTCTGCCCAATAGTTAAGGGCTCAAATGCCTACCATGGTGCCCTCTAGCACATATAGTTAGCCACCCTCCTAGCAAATAAACCAAAAGGATAGGTGTGAGTCAGCCAAGTAAGCTACACACAATACCTACATCAAAGTGTGCTCAACTGTAGTCAAAAGAAGAGAGAGTGGGCGAGGGAGGTGGAGGAACTATACATCTCAATAGTCAACCCCCTCATTAGCCATGCAGCCCAGCAGATAGTGGAACTACATGTAGTAGTTCTTGGCTAGATAGTTTCTAAGCCAAATGTCCTTATGACTGTCACTCATGCCAACAAAGCCCCTGCCCTGGGCTTTGTTGTCCAGCACGTAGGTGTAGGCCACTATCAGAGCCTCCTCAGAGAAGCCAGTGGTCTCCATAACAACATGGGTAGATTTAATGGTATTCCTAGGTATTCCCGAGAATACCCAACTTTTTTTGTACAAGTTTTAGTAGATATGTATGTATATTCATATATATAAATGTATAATGGTGTATTTCTATGATCTGTTCGCTATTTTAGCCCAAAATGGCCCAAAAAATACCTTACCTTCCTTCTCCCCTCCTAGGCTCGCATCGCAGGCCGGCCCATGAGGCTCATCTCGCTCATAGGCTTTTCCAGGAGACCAGGACTCCACCGCGGCACGCCGGCACCGCATCAAAATCCCCCGTACCGGTCTTGGTCTCCCTCTTTCACCTTCGTGCTTCCCTTCTAAAACTCTGAATCCCCAATCCAGCTACCCTAGACCCTACTGACGTCGGTGAATCGACATGGCACTAGTGCACTACGGGGCAACGCGCGCGCACGGTCGCCCGACAGTGGCTGGACGGGTGCTAGCCAGGCCCGCGGGCATGGGGGAGGCGGTGGGTGGCAGCGGGCGAGGCCGCGGGGGGCCAGGCGACCAGCGGGCCGGTGGCCAGCGACTGCCGGTGGGCTGCTCTGCTCCCTACGACAGTGCGACTGCTCTGCTGCCTGTTGAGCAGCTGAGGTAAGCTGTCTACTGTCTGCATAGATTTGTTGTACTCAAAATTGATGTCGGTTGATGATTTACTGATTTGTATACACAATTACTGAATTATAGTGCTATTGGTATTGGTTTGCAAAATGAAGAGCTAAAATAAATCAGTTGATTTGAGGACTTTGTGGGATAGAGCAACAAAGACAAGGAAGGTGGAGTTAGGTTCTTCATTAGTGCCGCAACCAGTTACTGTGGAGAGTGATGCCCAGCCTCAAAATCCAGTTGTTCAAACTTATATGCCTATAACTAATGAGAGTCAAGTTCATAATGAGTCAACAGAACCTGAGACTGAGATAACTAGCAATGATCCTAATCCTAACATACCAAGCACAAGCACATAACCTGAGATAGCCAACAATGACCCCAACATACCAAGCACAGAACCTTCTACTTGGTCCTCTATTAGAGATGGTGATGACTCAGAGTATGAAATTGATGAAGCTGTTTATGACATTGACCTTGTTTCTCATGA